AAAAATATTGAATCATGTGATTTTATAATATACCTTTTCAAAAATAGCAGACGACTTTCATTAGGGAAATCAATAGTTTAAGGTTTTTCCCGTTACGAACGCCACCTTCGACTATTCTAATTTTCCTGAATAATGTTACCAGAATTGGGGACATTTTTTCTTCGAAGTGAAGACTCCTTATTCTTACTTCGTGATAGGAACTTAAAAAAAATAATGGCGAGCAAAATTTTTGAAACTTGATTCAGTCGTAACTTATTAATGTAATTGTTAGGTGACGTCATCGCCACAATGTTAATTTTGTCGGAAACTTCTCTCTTAGGGTACGGTCACACGACTTTTGGAAAAACCATTCTTGTCTTTCTCTCTCCTATTACAGACGCATAAGTTTGTCTCACTCTGCATTTTCCGTCTTTGGGAAATGTAAGAAAATGCAGAGTGAGACAATCTTATGCGTCTGTAATAGGAGAGAGAAAGACAAGAATGGTTTTTCCAAAAGTCGTATGACCGTACCTTTAAGGAGGACCGTTACATAACCTCAAATTCAAAAATGATTTTCTATAAGGCAGTCCAACTTGTGACGTAGCGTGACGTCACTTTTCAAAATGGTGGCTGGTTGGAAGACATGCAATGCATTGAAGTCAATAGAGCGAATCAGTTTTTTTAACATAACTTTTGAAAAATTAATTTTTGAACCCAAGTGTAATTGTGAAATATTTTTTATTTATCGAGATCTATTTTTTAAAATAATAAAATCAAAAAATTAATTTTTATTATTTTAAAAAATAGATTTCGATAAATAAAAAATATTTCACAATTACACTTGGGTTCAAAAATTAATTTTTCAAAAGTTATGTTAAAAAAACTGATTCGCTCTATTGACTTCAATGCATTGCATGTCTTCCAACCAGCCACCATTTCGAAAAGTGACGTCACGCTACGTCACAAGTTGGACTGCCTTATATTTTTAACGCAAACACAAATATTAGAAAAATTAATTTCAATCAACTTTGGAAATTTTGGTTATACACAATTTAGAAAAAGTGATATTAACCCAAAATTTGTCTTAAAAAAAAATAATTTTTTTTAAACATATTTTAATTTTTTTTTCTTTCAGTTAAGACAAAAATTGCAATTTTTATAAACAATTGCTAATTTTTTTGTTTGAGGTTATGTTACAATCACCATCCTCCTTAAAATATAAATATATATAGAGAAATAAAATAAATAAAAAAAAAAAAATTTTTTGCAACACTAACCTCTAAAGTTAAATTTTACACACCGAAAAGTGTGTGTAAAGAAGCTCTTTTCCAAACGGTGTGTAAAGTGATTCACTTTACGCACTGCGAAATTTACTCGTATAATCACTCACTTTACGTACTTGTATCATAAATAACTATTAATTGTGTCATTAAAAAACATTTTATAATGAAATTATATAAAATAAAGAAAAAAAAATTGTATTCGAGTCTGCTAACCAATAATAGGGTCAACTGGGGTAAATCCGAACGCTTTTAGTAAGTTTCAACAATAACATAAGTTTTTTCTTTAAAAAAAAAATACTTCCGGTATTCTGGTGCATGAAGTTGTTACTTTACTTCCATAGAACAATTTTATGGGGTAGAAAAATTTTTTGATAAATTACAATCGCAGGAAACTTAGCGTTCGTATTTACCTCGATACTTTGCAACTTTCCTAAAATATGGGGGTAAATACGAACGCCACTGTATTTCAGAAAAATCTTAGGGAAAATAAATTTAAAGTATTGCAATTGTTAAACTTATATAAAAACTCAAAAAAATACGATAATAAACCTATTATGTAATAATGCATCATATATAAATACAAAAATCAAACAGGTTAAAAATTAAAATGCATTACACAATTAAAACCTTCAATAACTTTATCAAATCATAACGGATTTTTGCAAAACTTGGTACAGAAAGTATTTTGGAGTGATTGAATGTAAATACAAAAATAAAAGTCAAGTTTTTTAAATTCAAAATGGCGTACTTTCCTAAAACTTATTTTTAAAAATGATCAAATTTGCTAACCCTGAAACCCCCCGAGTAACAATTTTCGAGCGAATCCAATGAATTTTTTAATTCTCGTCCGCCATTTTGAATTCTGAAAAACTGACTTCAAATTGGTAATTAGCGACCCCAAAAACCGTAGAATACCAAATTTTATTAAGATCCTGAAAAACTTTTTTCAACAAACCATTTGGCAAAAAAATTGAAACACTCCTTCGAGAGAACAGAGATTAAGTTTCTGCTTATTAATTACTAACGAGGATACGCATAGAAAGAAAAACTTTTTTCTATGTACTTTTATAATGCTAAAATAATAGTGTAATCAAATAAAAACAATTTTGTGTGGCTTTGATGTAAAAAAAATTATTAAAAATACCGTTCGGATTTACCCCAGTTTTCCAATTTTCTTGGGTAAATACGAACGGTCTGATATTATTAATAAAATTTTACAGAAGGCAAAAATCAAATATAGTTTCTGTTCTAGTATTCATAACAAACAATTATAAATAATAAAATGAATTTTTAGCTTCTTTTTCTTGAAATACGAGACAAAATACTGAAAGAGTGTCATCTTTGATTTTCAATCTTTTTTGCAATACTTGTTATCTTTGTTTATGCTGTTGCTAATTAACAAACAAAAAATGGGATAATACTTAGAATCTCTTCAAGAGGATCTGAGGTAAAAATTCTCATATCGAACTTATTTTTAAAAATTTTAATTAAGCTGAAATAATTAGCGTTCGGATTTACCCCCCGTTCGGATTTACCCCGACTGACCCTATAAATTTATATATTCCTTAAGGATATTCAACCCATTAACATAACCTCAAACTAAAAAGTAGTTTTTAACAGAACTAAAAATATATTTAAAATTTATTACATCCAAATTCGACAGATCCAATTGTACAATTTTGGAAAAAAATTATTTTGAATTAAAATTTATTGTTAAATAATAATTAATATACATTTTGTATTTTTTCTTAAAAGTTAGCGAACAATTATAATTTTTTTGCAATTCTTACAAACAATAGCTCATTTTGCTCTTTGAAAGATTTTCTACAATTCCGTTTGTTGAATTTTATTAAAAATATTATGTTCAAAAGTTAATGAACAAATAAAATTTTTATTTTTTATATTTTTTGAAACAAACCATTATTTAACAAAAACACAAAATCAGAATTGTAGATAATCTTTCAAAGAGAAAAATGAGCCATTGTTTATAAAAATTGGATAAAAAGTAGAATTGTTCACTAAATTTTAAGAAAAAGTACAAAATGTTTATTAATTATTATTTAACAACAAATTTTAACTTAAAATAATTTTTTCCCAAAATTGTACAATTGGATCTGTCGAATTTGGGTGTAATAAATTTTAAATATATTTTTAGTTCTGTTTAAAACTACTTTTTAGTTTGAGGTTATGTTAATGGGTTGAACCTCCTTAAAATTTATCTAACTTTTAGGGATGCATGATTATGTTCTAAAAATCATTAGTTAGAATTTTCATTTTATGGAATTTTATTTGTCATAATTATTTTTGATTTGAATTTTTATTTGTTCGAATTAGTATTTTGCAGAATTATCATCAAAACGATTTTCTATATTACAGAATTTTTATATAACCGAAAAATCATTTAACAGAATTGCTAATTGATAGAATTTTCATTTGTCCGAAATTGCAAATGTCCGAACAAACAATCGACAGAAAGATTTCGGCGCGATTTTTAAAATCAACCAATCATAATTTTATGGATAATTTTTTATTGGTTCATTTTAAAAATCGCTCCGAAATCTTTCTATCAATTGTTTGTTCGGAATAATCAAATAATAATTCGAACAAAATGTAAGAAAATTCTATACAATAAAATTCTACCCAATAAAAATTCTTTAAAATGCCTATTATGTTAAATGAAAATTTGAGCAAATAAAAATTCGAACAAATAAAAATTGTGTGAAGTGAATTTTCTGTTATATAAAAATTCTGTAATATAGAAAATCGTTTTAATGAAAATTCTGCAAAATGCTAATTCGAACAAATAAAAATTCGGCTCAAAAATAATTATGACAAATGAAATTCCATAAAATGAAAATTCTAACTAATGATTTTTAGAACATAATCCTGCATCCCAATTTTTACAGAGATTCATATTCTTGAAAATATACTTTAAAAACTGATGATCTAGTTAAGAAAACATGATAAATCCAATTTTGAAAAAAAATTGTTAACATGATTTTTATGAATAATATATTGTATTATGAATAGAAATCATATTTTCAAAATAAAAAAAAATTCAAAAATGGAATTATCCGTATTTCTTATAACTTCATTTTCAAGTATAGATACTTAGAAAAAAGTGTCGTTTAATTAGAAAATAAATGTAGAAAATTTTGTAAACATACATTTATTTTCTAATAAAAAAAGAATTCCATCTTATAAAAATTCCGAATAAAAAAAAAAATTATAAAAAGAACTCCTTATTAAAATTCTCCAAGTAAGAAAAAAGAAAAAAAAAAGTGTAAACCATATAAACTTCAATAACAGAATCTCATAATTTACAACCGCAAGAATCTAACGGAAAGCAAAAAAAGAAATTATGCGTTTGTGGTTCCGAATCTCGATAACTAACGAATCCATATCAATTTCAGAAATCTCCAATTCTCACTTTCACCGGCAAAATGATTAAAAGTTTTAAATTCTTCCTAGTAGATGCGTTGAAACTACCATCTAGTAGTTTTTATACTCATCTATTTTTTTTTATTTATTTTTCAAATCAACTTTCACTTGCACAATTTTTATTTCAACGATATCAAAGTCAAGCTTAATATTTTATTTGTCATGTGAAACGATTTTTTTGAAATTAATTAATTTTAGAATGGACAATTTACTTTTATTATACATAAATAAAATTTCTCTCTGCAAAACTATTATAAATATATATATATATATAGGAGAACGTCATATAAACTAGACTTTTGTATTTTATTAAAATACTTATAATTTAAATTATGTACAAACCATTGACAAATATTATCAAGTCATTAATAATTAAATGAAAAAAAAACAATTCTGCAAAAAATAAAATAAATATGAAAATAAAATTTTCATTTTTTTCAAATTTATTTGAAATTAAATGAAATTTCATAATTTCATTAAATTGTAAAATTAGAGTTGAATTTGAAAATCACTAAATTCAAAAATTCAGTTGCATCAAAAAAAATATTACATTAAATTAAAAGTTAAATTTTTTACTTTAAATTAAATTGAATCATCATTTGTTTTTAGTGAAATTTAATAACCGAATTTATCATTAAGAGAAGTTTTACCGTCTCCACTTTGTCCTTGTGGTGGAACCCAAGTGCAATAGTCTTCTTTATATTCCTCTTCCTCGTAGCTTTTTATCTTCTCTTTTTCCGCTTTCAAAGCTCGTTGTTGAATTCGTTTCATATTTCGTCTCTTTTTCCTCAAAACTTCTTCATCGTCATTCTTTTCTTCTACAGATTCATTTATCATTTCTTTTTGTTCATTAACAATTTCTGCACATTTTTCTACTTTATTTTTTTCATCATTTACATTAGTGTCATCCTTATTATTCTTTTTTACAAATACCTCACTTGATTCTGCAATTTTCATAGATTTTTCATCGGATTTATTTTCTGAAAATTCTTCTTCACTAGGAGAATCTTTTTCTTTATTCATTGTTTCAGACTCTTCATTTGGTTGAGAGACAATCGATTTTTTCATTTTTTTCTGAAAATAATTTCAAATATTTCAACATACAAAATTTTAACAATATTAACAATATTATATTAAGAAATGAAAGAAAATAAATAATAAATATTTTTAAAAAATTAGAGAAATGATATTGGAATTTTTTTTTATTTCTTGCAAAAATAAATTTAAGCAAAAAATTTGTTTTCTCTTGTAAAATCTGTACAAATTTAAAAATTAAATTTTAAAATTGCAATTTTATATTTTCTAATCTGCCGGCATCGCGGTAGTATCAATGATTGAAAAAAACATTTTTTTTCATTTGGAAAATAATTAATTTTTTGCCTGCAAATTTTTCTTTTGAAAATTATTGATTGAGAAACGTTAAAAAAACATATAATAATTTGCACAGAAAGATATTTTTTTTTCTAAATCGTTGATTATAAACGTTATGAACTTCACCAACGTTGGCAGAAAGTAGGATACCATAACGAGTTATAATTTTTTTAAAACTTAATGTCTTTAGAAGCAACGTACTTTTGAAACACGTTTTTCTATATACATATATGTTATACATACTAAGAAATAAAAAATAATGTATTAAAGAAAATTTATACGATTTTTCTTAAATATATTTGAAAATGTAGTAAAAAATAACATAAATGCAACGAAAGCATGAAAAAAATTGAAATTTACTCTAAAAAGTGACTTTCCTCAAAATCAATTTTTGAAAAAAAAATTTAATGTTAAATATTAGGAAACTTTATCCCATTTCTGCAAAAGTGATGTTTTTTGGTGTTAAAATAATATTTACAACATAATCTACAATTATGTATTTTTGAAAATAATACGAAAACAAATTAATTGTAAGGAAAAATAGGTTAAATATAAAATAACTACTTGAAACTCTGTGAGAAAGACTAAACAATTGTAAATAGAATTTTGATAACAAAAAGAACATCATTTTCGCACAAACGGAAATAAAGTCCTAATTTATTAAGGACAGGGACCAGTAAAATTTCAGTCCATTAAAATTAATGTTATTTAAGGTTCTCAATTTTTTTTCTCACAATATTGAATACCTATTTAAAATTATAATACAATATAAAAAATGATAAAACAATTAATTTATTAATATTTTTTTCAAATAAAACAAAAAATCTCAAAATTTCTCTTATTTTTCATTGTCGATTTTTTAATACGCTTTATTCATGATATTAAACAATCAAGCGTATGGATTTTGAAAAATTTTAATTATTTCCAAAAATAAAAATTTTGGAAAATAAAAAAAATTTATAAAATAATTAAAAAAAAAAATTTGAAAAATAATTGTTTACCTCTAAACAAAGTTAATTTTGATTGATTTAAATTTTACTGGTAATTCTTTAAAAATTCAACTTCTTCCACAATTTTAATTTTTTTTCATCGCCGAATTTTTTATAAATTTTTTTCACGATTCTGAACAATCAATCGTGCGGATTTAAAAAAATTTTAATTTTTGTAAAAAATAAAATTTCAAAAAACATCGATTTTTTTGGAATTCTAAATCAGAAAATCCCTTTAAAATTAACGTCTAATACTTACTTCAAATTTAGGAGAATTATCAAATGATTTCCGTTTAGTTGGCAGAGTTTCAACACTTTTTGATGTTTGTGGCTTTAATGCCGGTAAATTTGCCGGTTTTGAAATGTCAATTAATTTCAAAAGTTGCGCCTCCTCTTTATGCAACTTTTGCAAATCCATTTTCAATTTTGTTTTCTCACTTTTATTTAAAATCGATGCACTTTTTAATTTTGACATAAATGCATCTAGTGCATCGACACCTAAATTTTCCTCCATATTTTCATTGTCTCGCGATTGTTTCAAACGATTTTCAATATTTTCAATTTGTTTCATTACTTCCTCATATTTTTCTGTCTGTAATGAAACAAAAAAAAAAATTATATTGACTTAAATAATTTAATATATAATAAAATAAAAATAAAATAATTATAAAAAGAACTACAATTATAAAAATGTTATAATTTATAAATGAATAATAAATAATTTAAATAATTTATTGTCATTATTGAATATTTAACTGGCAGAAAAATTTGAAGTTTAGATAAAGAAACTTACTAGTGAATTATAAGTTTCCGCTTTTGCATTCAATTTTCCAGCGTTTCTCATTCTTTGTTCTCTCTTTTGTTCCACGGCTCCCGTTCTGTCCAGGAAATTATCTTCATCTGAATCGTAAAAATCTTGTTCCTCCCAGTTACGCGCTTTTTTCTTTTTACTTTCTGTAAGTGAGAAAATTTTTACAATTTTTTTTTTTGATTTTTCGCAAAAATTATAAAACTATTTTCAAAAATCAAACAATTGGTTTTTTATTATAAATTTTGTTTTTGAAATTGTTTAAACAAAAAAATTGGTAAAATACAATAATAATACATTTTTTTCTTAATTTTTTGTTACAATGTAAACCTTTAATATGCAAGAGTATTTTTGTACGAAAGGGCTTGTTTCGTTTACAATGAAATAAATAATAATTTCTACTTTTTAATGTGATGAGAAAATTTGTAATTTTTTACTTACCATGAACAGCTTGTCTTAAAAGTCCGTGTCTGTCTAAAATTCTACAAGCTTCCAAAGCGCATTGAACAACTGCCTCTTTCTTTTTTCCCTTTACACACGCTTCTGCTTTTACAGATCTTCCAACATAATCGTCTATTGGCAATCTAACAATAATGTTAAATTAATAATCAACAAATACTAATTTTTGCTAACTAAATCTTATCACTAAAATTTTTATAAAAAAAAAAATAATTATTAATTTTTATCGTTTTTAGGCTTCTAAGACACAAAAAAATCGCTTTAATTGCAATAAAATTACAAAAATTGTCGAATTTTTATTTCTTAATAAATTTAATTAATTAATAACTAAATATTTAATTCTTTTCATTACTTTACAGGGTTGCTACAAAATACTAATTTCAAAATTCTCTGAAATTTCCACGTTTTCCATGACTGAAAAAAAATTCATGACAATTCCCGGTTTCCATGTCTGTGGCAACCCTGATTTATTTAATAGAATAATTCTTAAAAATATTTTTCAACAAATTTTCAGAATAGCCACAAATTAGGAAAAAAAAATAATTCTTTTTAATTTCACTTACTCAACCCAGCATGTGAATCGTCCGATTCCATTTTCTTCAGCTTGATATTGCAAGTCGTGTCCTTCACGTTCAAACCAGCCGCGTAACGTTTTTTTTGGATCTTCTAAAAATAATTCCTCGTTATTTGTTTGAGCATATGGATTTTCCTTTAAATCCGTCTCTTCGTCCGCATCCTCGGACATTCCCCAATCGACACCTTCATTTTCTTCTTTTTCAAGTCGTAATTTCTCCGCTAATTCCTCTTCTTTTTGGCGTTCTAACTCCATTTTTGTTCGCTCCTCCATTTCTATTCTTCGTTTCTCCTAAAAATAAAGAAGTTATCAGTTTTTTTTTAAATTCATTATCAAAATGCGCAACGCAAGGCAATGTTTTGAAATTAATATAACATCGAATTTCTATTTAATAGAATTTTCTTTAGGCAGTATTTTTAATTAACTGAATAAATCGAATTTTTATAAATTAAATTCTTATTTAATAGAATTATAATTTTAACAAATTTTATGAGCCAAAAGTTTTGAACGTTGAAATGAACAAAAATTTTTTTACAACTTCTTTAAGTACGAATTTTATTACAAAATATTGTTTTAAGTATCTAAAAAGAAATTATTAAATTAACCCCTTCACTGTTATTGACCTCTATAGAGGCATAAAAATGTCGTGCCACCAGTGTGCATGACCGCTATAGCGGCATCTCAAAAAAAAATAAGTAGACACAAAATATGATAAATTATCGATAGTTTACTTCATTATTTTAATAATCGTTTACTTCATTATTTTAACAATACAATAAACTTGTCAATGGGTATTCTTAGATTTTCGGGTTTTTTTTAATATCAATTTTTAAAAAAAAAATTTTTTTTCCCACATACGGGGCACTGAAGCTTTATTTTTGCTACACTGCGAAGGGGTTAATAATTGTTTAATTTACTGTTTTATTTGAGGCATTTCATATGAGAATACAGGGTCATGTCTCGGATTTTTCTCAAAATTCGGTAAATTGTAGTGATAGTGGTGCTAAATAAATGTACAAATTTAGAATTTGAAATTTTTAATATTTTTCGAGATATTTCCAATAACAAATTTCAGCAATATTTTTTTGCTTTAATTATAACTTTTTTCCTATTAAAAATAGAGAAAAATGTTGTAAATGTTTTTTACGCGGAAGATCTCAAACTTTTAGAAAAAAATTATTTTTAAAAAAAAATATTAATTTTTAAACAATTTGTTTAAAAAATAAAATTTGTTTATAACTTTTAACCATGTTCTCCCTCATTTAGAAGCGCGAAAAAAATCATAAATATTGTTTAAGTCAAAAAAAATTGATGATTAAATTTTTGAGATGGCATTATTTTTTGTTTTCGAGATATTAATTAATTAACTAACAAAAGTTAATAAAAAATGAAATATTTGACGAACAAATAAAATTAGAGTAATTTTTAAAAACATCATTAGAATGCTTATCAAAATCCGCATCCAACGAGCCATATATGAACTATTTCTGATAAACGGGTGTAAATTAATAATTAATAATAAAAATTATTTAAATAATTAATAAAATTTGAAGAAATGAAGATAAATCGTCAATTCTTTTTTTATTTGGAAGATCATCTAATTCTGTGTCAAAAAAAGGAATATTAAGTATTACCAAGAATCAAAAATTAATTATAAAATGTTATTTAGAAAAAGACTGAAAAATATCATGCCGAGTAGGTAGACAACCTCCTCCAACTTGTATCGTGGGGTGCTGAAACATCGATTTTCAATAATCATCTGTTAATAATTTAAATTTGTTAAAAATGTTATTTACACTGGTTTTATTTAACACAGAATTAGATGATCTTCCAAATAAAAAAAGAATTGACGATTTATATTCATTTCCTCAAATGTTATTAATTATTTTAATAATTTTTATTATTAATTATTAATTTCACACCCGCTTATTAGAAATAGTTCATATAGGACTTGTTGGATGCGGATTTTGATAAGTATTCTAATGGTGTTTTTAAAATTACTCTAATTTTATTTGTTCGTAAAATATTTCATTTTTTATTAATTTTTATTAATTTATTAATTTTTCGCGCTTCTAAATGAGGGCAAACATGTTTAAAAGTTATAAACAAATTTTCTTTTTAAACAAATTGTTTAAAAATTAATATTTTTTTTAAAAAATAATTTTTTTCTAAAAATTTAAGGTCTTCTGCGTACGAAGCTGAAGTACCCAACGTTTATGATAAACGATTTTTAAAGAAATAATTTTTTAAAATGAAAAATTCTATAATTTTTTGCCTAAAAAATATTTCTTGTAGTTTTTATTAATCAATAAATTATAAAAAAAAAAAATTTTTTAGGCAAAAAATTATAGAATTTTTAATTTTAAAAAGTTATTTCTTTAAAAATCGTTTATCATAAACGTTGCGTACTTCAGCTTCGTTTCTGCGTAAAAAACATTCATAACATTTTTCTCTATTTTTAGTAGGAAAAAAGTTATAAGTAAATTAAAAAAATATTGCTGAAATTTGTTATTGTAAATATCTCAAAAAATATTAAAAATTTCAAATTCAAAATTTGTACACTTATTTAGCACCACTATCACTACAATTTACCGAATTTTGAGAAAAATCCGAGACATGAATGACCCCGTATTCTCATATGAAATGCCTCATATATATTTTTAATATAAATTTATATAGACAAGAAAAAACCTTCAATTCAGTGACAGTCAATTCGGATTCCTCTTCTTCTTCTTCGCGAGGTGTTTGCATAATGAATTTTCGTTGACTATTGCCAAATTTGATCATATGTCCATTACGTACTCTCACGTAAATATTTTTCCTAATACGATTACCATTCCAGAAAGTACCATGCGTACTTCCCAAATCATAAACATAGAGGCCTTTCTCATTTTTCTCATCGGATTCATTGCGATATTGAAAAATTGCATGATATCGTGAAATTGTTGGATTTGCAAGAGGAATATCACAAATTGGTAATCGTCCAACGACGTAAAAATTTTTTTCACTCAAATCTATTGTTTCTAAAATCTGCCCCGATTTCAAAATTTCAGCTTTATATTTATTTTCCGGTTTTCCACTCCATGTTGGTTCCCTATAAGGCAATGGAATTTGCTTTTCCTTCTCGATAATTTGTTTTCTCTCTCGTAATTGTTTTTCTTTCAATTTTTCTATTTCTACTTCATTTTTTTTCACTTCTAAAGATTTTTCATCTTTTTTTATTATTTTTTCTGTTTCTTTTTCTTTACCTTCTTCTTCTTTTTCTCTCTGTTTTTCGTCACATTTTTCTGTCGTTATTCGAAAATTCTCGGAATCACATTTTGTTTCTACTTCCTGGATAATGGAATTTTCTGATTTTTCGTTTAAATTCACCACTTTTCGTGCGGTAGGTTTACCTTTTCGTGGTCCAATAAGTAAATCAGGTTTCTTAAAAGTGTGTTGCAATGATTCAATTTGAGGGGAATTGTCAACTAATTTTTCTGTAACATTTTCCCCAGATGCAATCTTTATTTCAATGTTTTTTAAATCTTCAGAATTTAAATTTTCTTCTTTTTCATTTGAAGATTCAATTTTACTTACTTCGATTTCCATTGTTTCGTTAGATTCTATTTTTTCAATGTTTGTTGAACTTTCTGCGACTACGTTTTCATTTATGGTATTTTCGAGGTTTTTTTCACAATTCAACTTTTCGGGAACTTCCATTTTATATAATTGCACAAATTTAAAAAAAAAATCACATTCGAAATTTAATGGTAATTTCTTGTTTTTTTGTTAATTTTTAATGGTAAAATATCCCGATGTTTTAAAAATTACGACATAACCTAAAATACTTTCGTAAACTTCACGTTTGCTATATATATATATTTTAGAATCTTAAATTTTACTTAAGAAAACTATTAAAAAAGAAAAATTTCTTCGATTTTTTCACTACAATTAAACATGAGTTGTTAAATATTATATATTGTCCAAGTTTTGTTTACATTTTATTTTTATTAAATTTTTTTTTCAAAACATAACCCTTTCCACCATGTTTATTTATGACAGGTGTGTCTGAAAACTCTAAAGGTGGGAGATCTTTTATTTTCAATTTGAAGCAAATATTGCTTCTTCAAATGACCACCAAGGTAGAGCAATGCGATCGTTTTTACTGAAAAGAACTTTAATGGAGGTTCTAGAATAGGTGCGCATGCAAAAGGCAAGTGCAAGTCCAAATTTTTCCAGAATAGGTGCAAAAGCCAAGTACAAGTTTTTGCACCTATTGTAGAACCTCCTTCAAACTACGAAAAATAAGTCTTTTGCCCATATGCCCTTTAGGGTATGCGTTCAATTATTAAAAAATAAAGTTTAAAAAGTGGCATTTTTAAACGAAAATGAAAACAAACATGGCGGCGCATACACAGACGTTGCTTGAGTGTGTCAGTGCTCCAGTAAACAGCGCCAATTCGAGCGAGTGGCCGCTGAATGAACTACGATTAAATACATTATTTTATTATTTATTGCTTTATTTTTATTATGTTTGCGTTAAGTTGTAGTAAATGAGTAGAATAGCGAGATTCCTTGTACCAAACTGAATCATTTCTACAAAATTTTAACCCGTAATCATTTTTTATTTCAAAGAAAGTTTCAAACCACAAAAAACGTCCTTTGCCCACATACCCTTAAAAAGTGACATTTTTAGGGTACGGTCACACGACTTTTGGAAAAACCATTCTTGTCTTTCTCTCTCCTATTACAGACGCATAAGTTTGTCTCACTCTGCATTTTCCGTCTTTGGGAAATGTAAGAAAATGCAGAGTGAGACAATCTTATGCCTCTGTCTTAGGAGAGAGAAAGACATGAATGGTTTTTCCAAAAGTCGTGTGACCGTACCTTTAAACGAAAATAAAAATTAACATGGCGGCGCATATACAGACGTTGCGTGAATGTGTCAGTACTCCAGGAGGTAGCGCCAATTCGAGCTAGCGGCCTCTGAATGAACTATGATATAATACATTATTTTACTATTTATTGCTTTATTTTTATTATTTTCGCGTTAAATTATAGTAAATAAGTAGAACAGCGAGATTCCTTGTACCAAACAAAAACATTTATCCAAAATTTTAACCCGAAATCATTTTTTAATTCAATGAAAGTTTCAAATCACAAAAAAACGTCCTTTGCAAGGGTAGGTCCTAGTAAGGTAGCACCACCAATATCGAAACTATAATTTTGGAAAATTATTTACAGTATTTACTTAAAAGCAAGACAATAAAATATTTTTTCCTTTAAGATTATTGATTATTGTCAAGAAATATACCGGCTAAAACTTTTTTTTGAGTTAAAATAATGAAAAAAAATTAATGACGATAAATTAAATATGAGCATATTTTTTAATGAAAAGTTTTAAGATATTTTCTCGGAAATAACAAAAAAAAATGCAATTTTCATTTGGAGAATTAATAAACACTAAAAAATACACCTGCTAAGATTTACCAATCACGAAAATAACAACAAAAACTTTTTTTTAACATAACAGATCAACACTATTTTACTGATTTTGACAGCCATTTGATTTTTAAACGAAAATGAAAATAAACATGGCGGCGCATACACAGACGTTGCGTGAATATGTCAGTGCTCCAGTAAACAGCGCCAATTCAAGCAAGTGGCCGCTGAATCAACTATGATATATAACATTATTTTACTATTAATTGCTTTATTTTTATTATTTTTGCGTTAAGTTATATTAAATAGAAGTAGAACATCGACATTTCTTGTACCAAACAAAATCATTTCTCCAAAATTTTAACCCGTAATCATTTTTTATTTCAGAGAAAGTTTCAAACCACAAAAAATCGTCCTTTGCCCACCTACCCTTAACTGACACGACCGTGAAAATTAAAAAAAAAAAATTCTCCCTGTATCGTCGTTGTCCCAGTAGCCGTCCATTTTTACAAATATCTCGTATAATAATTTAAATTATTTTTCAAAAATAAGTACATTACAAATTCAACAAATTCTTTTTGGCATGCAACGGACTTATTTGTTGAAGTAAACAAATAAAAGAAAATAATTTTTTTATAAATGTTATCTTCAAAATTAAAGTTGACGGAAACTGGATCAACCACGGTACTTAAAACGTTGAAACAAAAGGGGTTCTATAATATATACAAACAGTATGAACGCACCTTAATAACATTTTACTTGCATCGTCCGATTTTACATCGCATATAGTTTATGGTTAACGGTTTTTTAAATATTGTTTTGGATTTGCCAAGATAATTTTTCCCCGGTATTTTTTGTTTATTTACAATATAAAGTGATTTTAAACAACTAAAAACAAAAATGTATGGAAAAGAAGGTTTGAAACTTATCAATGAATTAGTTCTTTCTGATGATATCAAACCTTTCAATGTATGTATTTAAATGCAAAAAATTATTAAAACTGTTTTATAAAGTATAAAACATGTTTTCTCATCGGTATATAATTTCATGTCAAACTTGTTATCAATACTTTCTTTTGATTTACAGGATTTTGTTTTTAAAAATGTTTTGGATGAAATGAAAGCATTGTCAGAAGACAATTATGAACAAGTGTTTGTATTTTTATTATTTATTTTTCTTAAATATTTCAATTCAAGTTTTCTTTTAATAGTTGAATTTTTCATGAAAAGAATCAAAAATAAATGAAGTTAGACTAAAATTTTATTATTTTCATGTGTCTAAATAAGAAAATAATTAATACTTTAAAAATGTAAGGTGTTAAAAATTTAATACTTAACATTTTTAATAAAATAAAAAATTGTAATTTCTTTAACAATGTAGATAACATAACCTAAAATTTAACAATTTCTTACTGATAGAATTTTTTAATTTATATTTTTTTTTTTATCTAAATGTAATTTTGTTATGACTCAAAATGTTAAAGATAAAATTAGCCTCGAAAAATCCAATTTAATTAAAAGTTGTTTTTCCATTTAAGATGTAAAATTTGTCCAACTTTCCGAATCTTAAAAATGTTTATAAATAATGATAACAGTTATTGAAAATGAAAATTATCAATTTCTCCAAGTTATTTTTAAATTGATAATTTTTTTTCTGCATAATAAATTATATAAATATTAGATCATAATTATTATTATTATTATTAACGAAAGAAGTTAATTGATTCTTTATTTTTATTACTTTATAATAAATTAATTTAAATTAATTAAAAAAAATTCATAATTGTAATTCTTTTTATTAATTTTCGTTTACGAATTAAATTTAAATTTATTTTTGATTATTTTGTGATTATAATTTAATAATGTAAGTTAATTAAAGAAAAAAGAAATTAATAATAATATTCATTGTAAATATTGTTTTAAAAATGTAGACAAACTGCAACTGAAGGAGTTGATATTCGTGGATCACTTAAACTTCGTCATTCTGCTTTGGAAAGAAATAAACGTCTTCTTTTAACATATGTCAATCACAGAATGGAAAGATTAAGAAAAATGAGATGGGAACTTGGAAGTATTCTGCCACCGGAAGTCAAAGGTAATTTAATTGCCCCCGAAGAGAAATGGTTTAATAATTATAATAAAGCATTAGCTACATATATGAAGTCTATTGGAGATGGAAAGGGACTCAACATAATGAAAGACATGGTTCCACCAAAAGCACTTTATGTCGAGGTAAAAAGAAATACTATTAAAATAATAAAATCAGAATAATTTCTGATTTTATTATTATTATTATTATTATTATTATTTATAAATTATTTATTCTCAATAAATTATCAAATTTTTTTAATATCAGGTTCGATGTTTAGTCGATTATGGAAAATTTGAATTCGAAGACGGTCAAGTAGTTAATTTGAAAAAGAATACACATCACTTGCTTCCGAGCACAGAATGCGAAACTCTAATAAGACAAGGTATTCTTGAACACGTCAATAATTAGTTTTTTTTTTAATTTTAAAATTAAGTAATAAAAAAAAATGTTTTTTTTTTTTAATGTTCATTACAAATTCAATTTAGTAAATAAAAGAAGATTCACTGTGATATAAAATAAATGTTAAAAATTTAGAATAAAATGAAAATCAATATTTTTATAGGCACTAATAAAAATTACAGTTTGTTAAATATGACGATTTATATTTGTATAAAAATCATCATCTACTCGTATAAATTAAAATTTTCATAAATAAATAAAATGTAAAGAAATAATTTTTCAAACAGTTATTAAAAATCCATGACTCCTACTTTAAAGTATTAATAGTAATTAATTATTAATATTTCTATATTGAAATGATATTTCAATATAGTCAGAAGCCAATTTTTATTGAATAATTTAAATAAACTGTAATTAGTATAATTAAAAGATTTTTAAAGATTTTTATTAATTTCTTTTTATTTATTAATTAATAATTAATAAATATGATTAATTAATTATTATTAAATATTAAGTGATAATTATAGAAAAAAATTTAAATTTGAATACTATATAAATATTAAAAATTTTATTAATATGAAAAATTTTAAGTCGATTTATCATTTCGAGTAATTTCGAGAACTTTTTTTGAAAGGTCATGAGATAAAATATTATTCAGAGTATTTATTGATCATCTGTTATACAATTACGTTAATTTTTCAAAGGTCAAGAGATAAATCTCATTCTAATTTATTTGCTTGATACTATACGGTAATAATTTTCAATAATTAATTATTATTACATAATTAATAGTTTATATTTTTCTTAATCCATATTTTCTTTATATAAGAGTTTGAATGACCTTTTGTATGTGAAAAAAAAATTTCAAAAATTGTATTAGAAACAATTGTTTCTATTTTTCTATAAATATTTTAAATTTTGATCCTGAAGTTTTCTGAATAGTATAAATATTTCAATTTTGTCTTCTTTAGTTTTTGGTTTTATAAGGGAATAAGAATTCATTTATATAGAAATTCTGAATGATAATAATTATATTGGAGAACAATTTAATTTAATGTATTGAAAAAATAAAGAGTTTTTTTTTATAAATTTATTTATTAAATTGACATTTTGATAAATTGTGCATTTAAATTTATAAACGATAAATGGAAACGCAATAATTCAGGATAAATAATAGCATTAACAAATAAAAAATAAAATAATAAAAAAAATAAAATCTAAATAAATTGAAATAATTAATTTTTTAATAATAAAAATTTTATTTACATATAAATAAATTTAAAGTCACGAAGAAAAGTAAATTCCTATGATTAATAATTGTTATGTAAATAAAAAAAAAAATAAGGTCAAAAAATTATTGGCTGGAAATTTTTATAACTCATTCAAGTCATCTGAATTACCGTAAAAATCACAATCTAAAAAAAGAAACTTCCTGTTGATTTTCATTTTAAAATTTAAAAATCATATCAAATGACGTTTAATAATTTTCTATTTAATTTTGCGCAATATTAAAATTGTTATTTCAATATCATAATAAAGAAATTTCTAATAAAAAAAATATAGAATTAAAAAAAGAAATTTAAAAACTAAAACTCAAAAGTATTACTTTCGAATAAATATTGAATTTTTAAATAAAAGTTTAAAATTCTTAAATTAAATTTATTGTTCCTTCTATATTTTTATTTTTTTTATTTATAGAAATATAAATTATTTCTTTTTATTTTCTTATCCAATTTATTAATTTTTTTATTTATTATATATATATTCTTACAATTTACCTTATTACTAATCAAAATAAAGAAAATATTTTAAACAATTTTGGGCTTAATTTTTTATAAATTTACTTTAATTAAATATTATTAACATTCAATTAATTTTCTTTTACTTTTTTATTGAAATTTTAATTTTTCTTTTGTGAAATTTATTTATTTTTTTTTAAATTCCCAGAGCGTAAATTTTTATCAAATATTTTCTAGCAAAAAAATTTCTGTTGAATAAATAAAAAAAAACTAGTTTTAAAGATAGAAATTATTTTGTATATCGCATCGTTTTTTTCGATTTTCGACTGTGAACGTCACTGTTATTTTGGAGATATGTACTTCATTAATTTATTGACAAATGATGACCTCAAGAATATAAGATATTTCCTTATTAACAATCGCAATATACTTTATTTTTTAATAGTGCTAAAAAAATTTTTTTTCGGAGATAAATAAATATTATTTAAACACGCGCAATATTTTAAAGAAAAAAAATAAAGCCGGATCATTTTTATTTCGATCCAAGTCTTGTTGCAGCCTAATTTGAAAAAGAAAATTGATTAAAAATAAAAAAAAAAAGATTAAAAAACTAAAACAGAAAATTATTACTCTTGAAAAAATCATTTTTACAAATAGATGGAAAAAAAATTTTTTTTTGTAGATAAATAAACAATGTAAAACATTATTTTGAAACACACAATTTTAGAGGAAAAAAAATAATTCAAAATTTCTCTGTTTTAACCTGAAAGAGAAAATATTTTTTTGTTTTTCTAATATGTATAAAAGTAAAGCAGTAGAGAAAATCCCGTCGTCTATATAAACTTGTAAAAGTTTTAAAGTCAGTTTCTTCACTATATACATATATATATATAATATGTAGATCTGAAGATCAGACTAAATATTTCCTGGCGCAATCCTAAAGCACATATATATATTTTTTGAAAAAACTTCCCTCTTCATATAGAGTAGAAGTTATTTTTACAAAAACCCAGCGGCGACTCTTTTTCAGGTAAGAAAAAAAAAAATAACAAATAGTTTCAGTTTCAAGGGGTTAATTCCGTTTAATTCTCTTGACTCTCTAGTCTCTCTCGTCTCCCTGGCTGGCTATGTGAAATTTTCTGGGATTTCCCGCTTTGCCCCTACCATTCAATATTGGTATACTCTACCCTCTCTCTCTCTCTCTCTTCCACTGTGTTCTCTTCTAATTAGTTTCCCCCTCTCTTTCATCTTCTACTACATACCTAGCGCCGCCAGTTTAAGGCTGCGCATTGCGTCCATTCTAAAATTTTAATGTATATATATTAAGACTGCGTTCTTGAAAATCGCATTCAGTTTGCTTTAGGAGATTCGTTCGTGACATTCAGTGAAGAAGTTGATCATAAAAAATAAATTCATCCTTTGGAATAATAAGTTTTGTGTTCTATTTTTTGTTGAGTGTTATTCTCCTTGGTGGAAAAAAAAATTGCGCGATAGTGCTCGATTTCAACTATTATTATTATCATTGTTTTTAAATAATAATGTTGATCAGTGAATTTGTTGAGAAACTTGACGATATTGTTCCACATTGTAAGGAATTTAAATTCTAACCTCAAAAAAAAAAAATAAATAATTGTGCTCCAAACTAACATTATTTTCTCATGGGAATTGTGTACTGACCTTCGTCAAGATTATATATTTTTTTTTTCATTGAGCGCATATTGTGGACATGTGTGTAAAAGTTGTGGAAGTAGAAATTTTATGTTGATTTGGAAAGTTTTGTGCGAGAATCTCTATTGAGAGAAACTGCTTTTTGGGAGTGAGAGAGGGAGAGAGAAAGAGAGAGAGAGAAGGAAAAGAACGGTAGTAGGAGAAGGCCCTGGCATTGTGCTTTGTGAAGCAGGGAAAGTCCGTGTCTCGCAGCTCAGAAGCATCAGGCAGCAGGCACGTTTAAGTAAGGCCCTCACAGTTGCTCTATACACACATACACGTGCGGAGCAATTTCAAAAAAAAAAAATGTGGCAACAGTCTACACAGGGACCCATGGCCGGTAACGTCTCAGAGCTCGATAAGGGTGAAAAGTGTCAACAACAGGATTTTGGTGATTCGGGTTTTCTATCGGGTACAAACTTAATTTGTTCCGAGGAAGTATTTTCGGAGGAATTAATTCCCGCTGATGATATTGAATTATCATCTGATAATCAAGTGCCAGTTGTTTCTCAAGAACCTGAACCGATGAGAGTCCTTGATAGTGGTTTAGATTTGGGGATTAGTGAGAATCTTGGTCAACTTTCCCTAAAGCACGACACATTAAATTCATTGGATAAGGTTCATTTGGAGCCATCCAGATTGATACCGGTCAGTGTCAAGGCCGCGCCTAGGACTATCTTCACAACTCCTGATAAACAGAATACAGCACCAGTTATTCAGGAGCGATGGGAAATTTATTATACCCAAGATGACGACGGTGACACGTGAGTTTTTTTTTATTTTACTCACTTTTTTTTTAATTCAACATTTTGTGTGTGTATATGTCAAACATTTTTTTCATGCTTTCTTGTTTACTTACAATTAGTTACTGTATAGTGAAATTCCATTTATTTTCAACAGTAATTAAACATTAATGTTTGTTTTTGTAATTTCTCTTTTTATTATTTATTTCTTAATGATTTTTATTTATTACTTTTATTTTTTATTTCTTTATTTTTATTATTTATATTTTTTTAATATTTTTTTTTATTTTATTATTATTTTAATGACAATAATTATATTTCATTTGTAGAATTTTATATATTTTTTTACATTTGAATTTTTTTTTTTAAATTTACATTTGTCTGGGAAAATAATAATTTTATTTAATAAATATTCGAAAAATAATTATTTTCTCCCAGCGGGCAGTGATTTTTTTTTCCATTTTGTTTATCTCTTAATTTGTATAAACAATCGTAAAGTTGATTATGAATTTTAATTACAATTTTTGTTTTTTTTTCTCTTTCTCTCTTTCACTTATTTTGGTAAAATTTTAATTAGTTAAACAAGATTATAGTTGAGGAAAGTCGATTATAATTCCCGAATTTTGCGGTAAACAAAATCAAATTATTTATTCAACTGAAGTTTTTTTTATTGATTATCTTTTTCGTTTTTTTCCCTTCCTCCATAAATTTCAGATATTTTGTTTTATAAACAATGTATAGTTTCCTTTTCAAAATTTTAGGATTATGATTCGGTATATGTATAATAAATATGGGAATTAGTGATTAAGGCAATTTTTGAAAATACATATTTTCAAAATTTATATTCTATATATATATATATATATATATATATACAATATACCTACATATAAAATTCTTGGGAAAATACAAATTACTTTATTGTTGGACAAACAATATTTTAAAGCGACCCTTTGAAAAATTTTCCTTCAGGTATCTTTAAATATTAACACTTTTCCCAACACATGGTATGACCATTGTCATGAAAATTAACACACTGATTTTCTTGTCACGTGCCAACCATAGGGTATTTAAAATTACGATTATTGCCATATGTAAGGAAATATTTGGAAATTCCCACATGGTCGTACGATATTTAACCTTTTTTATTGTTCCTTCAATATTTTTATTATTTTTTATTTTTTCTATTTAAAAAAATATTAAATTTTTTCTTTTTATCTAATTATTGATTTTTCTATTATTTTCATTTATTCTTTATTAAATTTATTTTTACAATTTATACAATGCCCTTTATTACTAATAAAAAATAAATTTTCTTTTACTTTTTTTTTGCAAAAATTTTAATTTTTCTTATGTGAAATTTATTTTTAAAAAAATCCCAGAGCATAAATTTTTAGCAAATATTTTCTAGCAAAAAAAAAAAAAATTCAGTTTGAATAAATAATAAAGAAAAAAAAAAACTAGTTTAAAAGATAAAAATTATTTTGTATATCGCTCTTTTCTTCTACTTCGATTTTCGACTGTTAACGTCACTGTTATTTTCGATATATACTTCATTAATTTATTGGCAAATGATGACCTCAAGATTATAAGAAATTTCCTTATTAACAATCGTAATACTTTATTTTTGAATAGTGCTTAATTTTGTTTGAATTTTTTTTTTTTTATTCTTTATCGACTATAAATAAATAATCTTATCTTGGTGTGATTTACCCGTTTTAATTATACAGAAAGTTGAAATTTATAATTCATTGACTTCTTTTTTATATTAAAAGTAATCGGGCAGTGATATAAAATACATTAGTGAGACGATAAACACCAGAGTAGAAAAAATTGTCTTATTTTTTTTCGATATTTTCTATTTTCTTAATCCATTTCATAATAATTATATTATTAATTAATTTAACAAATTAAAACTAAGTAAATTAAATTTCTCGATTTTTGGTCAATTTTTTAAAAATAATTATTATTATATTAATTATTATTGATAAAAATAAATTAATCAATTTTTTCGATTTTTGAACAATTTTTTAAAAACATTATTATTATTATTATTAATATTAGTATCAGTATATTAGTGATTTTTGATAAAATGAAATTAATCGAATTTTTCAATTTTTAGACAATTGCACATTGCGGTAGTTCATGGTTACATTGATGCAATATTATCACTTGTAAATATGGTGCCACATCCTTGTCTTTTGGATATTTTGAATGACGATGGACACACGGCCCTTCATCTTTCAATTTTAACACATCAACCAAGGATAGCGAGATGTTTAATTCTTGCGGGCGCAAATCCCGAAGCAAGAAATCTCAAAGGCAATACAGCCCTTCATCTTGCTTGTGCTTGCGGTGACATTGATTCAGCACGTGCTCTCACCGATGTACTTTCTCATGGAGAACGAGGTTTACATTTACCTGGAAGATTTTTGCCCGCTCTACCACAAAATTTGGAGCAAAGAAATTATAATGGTAAGTTAAATTCAATTATCTCCTTTTTTTTCATATAATTATTATTTTATTTATCCCTTTTCATAATTTATTTATTTAAATATTTGAAAATATCAATACAAAAGACTCTTTGAAGAAATTGATTAGAAAAATTATAATAATTTAATAATTGAAATTAATATTGAGTGAGAGAAAAAAATTTGAAATATTTTTTTTTTATTTATATTACTCTACTTATGAAAAACGTATACTTGACGATTGTCATTGTAGATAATTCCTTGTGTTAAGATATTTAACGAGGCTATAGTGATATTTACAAATGGAATCGAGTCTTTGTGATAGGGAGTTACTTAGAGACGACGAGTTGGGAAAATCCCAAGAGTTTAAAAGCGCGTATCGAAATGCCATTTTATGAAAATAAAATATTCACTTTTATTCCATTGTTTTATAAATATAAGTGAAAAGCAAAAAATTTTAATTACCAACAATTTTAAGGACTAGAATTAATATTATTTTAGATTTTTCATTGTAAAAAATGCGAAATATGATTAAAAGAAATAGAAAACTATAAAAAAAAAAAAAATTCCTTTCATTAAATCGTGGTTTTTTAATTTTTAATCGATGAAATTTGTAATTATGAAATTTTCACATATAAAAATTCATTAACATTTTTCTTTTCTCGATAAAAGAAAAAAATATTTCCTCTTTAAAAGAATATTGATGGAAAAATATTTTGTTTATGACGTAGTAGATTTTCCTTAGCTGTGCGAATAATCTCATCCGCAAAATATTTGAGTCATTGTCTTTATGATCACAAGATGAAACGTCAAGGAAACGCAATTTTTATTTGTAATGATTATCAATATTATTAGTTGTATAGAGAAAAGTGATTGTATTTCAATTTTTCTGTTCTTCAATATTATTTTTATAACCGCAAAAAATTTGCAAACAATTTAAATTTTACAATTCAATAATTTATTTTTTTTTTTTAAATCGAATCAATTTAATAAAAATACATATTTTTTATATTTCTTTGAATAGAAAATGATTTTGATATGGATTTTTTGATGCCTTTTAAAAAATAATAGAGAACCCAAAAAAGGTGTAACTTCCTTTTAATACCGAAAAAAAAGATTAATTCCAATTCGTTTACATCATGAGATTAAAAATAAATATTCGCGTTTACTTCCTAAATGGTTTGTAAAACTAGTTTAATGATTGAATTCATTAAATTTAAAATGTAAATCTATGACGATTGAATCATTCATTTTTCAAATAAAATTTTGTTGAATGATTCGGTATTCTTTTTTTTCTAATTTTAAAAGTTTCGATTTTTTGTATACAATATTTTTTTTACTTTTCTTCAGTTTTTTTTTTTTTAATACTAAGTTTCGATTTGAATTTTTTTTTGCAATTTTTTAAATTATTAACTGTCATGACAATTTCAAGGCAATAATTTTCGTTAGCTGGGCAGAAAAAAAATGGGGGAAGTGAACTTTAACGATACATTTATAACGGCATTAGCATTGAGGTCTGGCTGTTGGGAATTTCCCACATGCTTCCTTTGAAAGTTTTGGAACGACTGTTAATGATAAACTTCGAGAGTTTCAATGTGTATATAGAGAGAGAGAGACGATTGTTGCCAGATGCCGTTTCATCGTCCAAACTAGAAATTAATTCGTATTATATATATATATATACATACTTTCATTCCTTTTGTGACCTCGGTATTATGATAATTTTTGCTGACCTCTTCCGCCTTTAAGTGAAAAGTTCACTGTCTTTGCTCTTCATTAAAAAAAAAAAAATTCCTCCTTACTTTTTTTTTCGCATTTTTAGGACTTATTTCTCTAAAAAAAATTATTTAAGTCCTCATTAAAATAAAACGATTTTATTTTAATTTTCCATATGATATATAACAGGTGTTTAATTAACAAATTTTTTATCATGTAAGCAATTAATTTTATTTTTGTTATTAATTTATTCACAAAAAATTCAAAATATTTCTAAAATTCAACTCTCTCGTAATTCCAGAATCTGAACTTTTAAGTTTATTTTTATGAATTCTCACGTTGTTAAAAAAATTTTTTTTTTTTTTATTATCGGTATTTCCAGTTTTTAAATTAGTAAACGTCATGCAGTGACACTTTTTTTTTTTTTTTTTGTTTAAGCAACATTTTCTTTTTTTTCTTTCTTTGAAAATTTTAAATTAAAATTTAAAAGTTTATACAACTTTTATTGTAATTAAAAAAAATTTCGATATTTGATATTTACTCTCATCCCGGGGGTAGTATTTGGAATATTTTCGTCATTTAATTAAATTATTGAATATTAATAAATTAAATAATTTATTTAAATTAATTTTTTTTAATTATTTTAAAAAAAAATTGTGTTTCGAATTATTTTAATAAATTACAATTTGAAAAATATTTCTCGCGAGTATAGTTTACTGATTAGGGACACTTTATATCTGGTAAACAAGCGGTAAAGATTATAAAAAAAAAAAAAAAAATTATCTCACATGGGTGCGCAGTTTTGAATGTGAATTAAAAAAAAATGTTAATTTTTTTTTCAATTTTAAATTTTGTGATCAAAGGAATTTTTTTTCGGGTAACAATAATTTATTGCTAGTATGTAAAAATATCTATGCTATATGCTTCAACATAGACGCATTTGCGGGATTTGGAAAACCCCACAAAGGCGTCGTCACTACATAAATGAACTTTGTTAATTATTATCAATATGATGATGATTTGTCGACTTTTTTTCTTTTTCATAATTTCTGATATTTCTTGCTACATATAGAGTGCTATTATTTAAATTGCAATACAAAGTTTCTTTTATCACTGATAAAGTATGAATTACTAATGAAATATATTTAACTATTTTTTTCAATTTAATTCTATTTTTACAATACAAAAAAAAATTAATATTTATTGAAAACAAATTTTTGTAAATTATACAATTTTTGGGGTTTTTTTTTTTTTTAAATTATTAATTTATTTTAATTATTATTAATTTTTTCGCTTACTTAAAAAACGATAAATAAAAGTGAAAAAAAATTAATATTATATTGTTCCTCGATTTTATAAAAGACTTTCAAGTTTCTTTTGTTAAAAAATGGGGTCAACAATATAATTTGACTAAGAGAAATTTCCCCCAAGGAAACGAGGATTGAATATGTCTGGGTATTATTTTTGGTGTGTAGGACTTTCATTAAAATGCGTGTATTCGCACTTTCACGCGAGTTCATTCACAAAATCCTTTTGCGTTACGATGGGTATTAGTCAGTTTGACAAAATCGGAATCAAGACGAGAGAGAGCGGGCGCGGGGTCACGAAATGCGTCTGGTACTCAACGAGCAAAACAAAATTAACCCCCTCCGCGACGTCGAGGAATTTCGTCTCGACGTTCCTGGATTCCGCGCCTATATGCTATACCAACGTGAGCATTTTAGTTTTGAAACAACTATTTTTAGTTCATTTCACTTTGATCAACGCGAGCCTAGTTTGGCTCATGGGAAATCAGCCAAACCCCCGCCGACAATGATTCACCACGTCTTCCGAGTTCTATCTATAATTTTCATCCTTTTGATACCGAGCTTACGTCTAAAAACAAACTGAAAATGTTTTTCTCAAGAAAAAAAAAAAAGAGAGAAAAAAAATCAAAGAACAGTTTTATGTTAACTTTTCAATTAGAATTTTTTTTTTAAAAAAAAACAAAAGTTTTTTAAATTTTGATTTTAAAAATAGATTTCAAAATTTTTTCTCACAAAAATAGATGTATCTAAAAATAATTTTGTTCAAAATTTATTTTTAATTAAAAATAAAAGAGTTATGACATTATGTTCCTGGAGTTTTGAACATTCAGAAGAACGAAATCAATTCAATAATTTTTTAAAGTTTTTGTTTGAAATTAAAAAAAAATTGAAGTAAAAGAAATTCTAAATGAGGAAAAAAAAGAATTTCTAATATTTTTTTTTTTTTTGTAAATATAATTTCTAAATTTCTATATTTCTTTGCAGTTTGTTAATTTCTTTTTATTATATTTGTTCTCTAGCTGTAAAAAGAAAAAAAAATTATTATTATCATATATAAAGCAAAGAAAGCAATTAAAGTGAGAATTATTTATAGCAGTTGCAACTGTACACAATTGACAAACAACAATTACTTATTCTTTAAAGAGGAAGTAAATATTTTAAGAACTCATTATGAGACAATGATTTATTAAGTTTAAGTAATGAGAAAAGAATTCTAAAGTCATTTTCTAATTTGAATTTAATGTCCCTTATTGCATGTTATAAATCTAAGTCATATATGAAAGGGTCTTTTGTATTTTTATATAATATATATAATAATGCAAATAGTACAAAAATTTTAAATAATTTATATTTATTAGTATTTTATTATTTATTTAACAAAAATTGTTCTTTGCTTTTTTCAGGTGAAATGTGCATTCATCTAGCGGCAAGTGGAAATCATGTTGAATTAGTGAGACTGTTACTTCGACTTGGTGCCGATTTAGATGCAAGAGAAGGTCTCGCCGGTAGAACAGCATTACATTTAGCAATTGAACATGGCTGTAAAGGAGTTTTGAAATTCTTATTAGAAGAATGTAGGCCCAGTCTTGATGTGCCAAATTATGCAGGCTATACCGCGTATCAAATTGCTCTTTGTGTTGACACACAATTAGCCCTCGATCTTGTAAGGTTTGGCGCCAGACCCCAACCACTTTCTGATGAAGAGACAGATAGCGATAATTCTAGTATGGAAGACAATGATGATAGTTATATGTTCAACTTATCACCACTTCAAAATAGCCCAATGTCTGCTGTTAGGGCTTAAAACGATTTCTAGGAATATTTGTAAATTTCAAAAATTTAACCTTACTTGGAATTTTTCAACTTCACTTTTTTTCTCATCATCATTATCATATTATATCGATAACAAATATTTTCATCTCATTTTAATCAAAATGAAAATTTTCAACTGAAATTTTATTCAACTTTTTTTTATGTGTAATATAAAATAATTTTATATTATTTAATAATTATATATATTATTATCAATAGAATGTATTTATTAATATTTAATTTTTTTTTTTGAAATTAAAAAATTATATTAATAATACATAGTATGTGAATTATAATAATAATTCATAATTATTAAATTAAAACAATATAAGAGCTAAAATGCTTTTAGAAATAATTTTTCAGTTAAAAGATTTTCTAAAAAAAAAAATAATTTCGATTTTACTAATTTATTTTTTATCTCTACTGGAATTAAAGTGACAATTGTTTTTTTAAATTCTATTTAGTGTCTTATTTATTCATTTTTTTAAATAACCCTTTTTACTTCGACACATTGTGAAATCGTAAAAGAAAAATTTCAAGTTTCGTTAAATTTCAAAATCAAAAGAAAAATAAATAAAACATATAGTAAATTTGGTTATGTGTGTGTATGTGTGATGAGAATGTAAGAAAAATGTAAAAAAAAAAGAAAAGATATCGATACAAGTTCGATAATCTTGAAACCTGTGAATTGAATTTTCTCATTATAAATATTATTAAAATTTGAACACCGGTTTTTTCAAGTGATAATAAAACTGAAAGTGTTTCAGTCAGAATATCTAACAATCATAATTAAGTCTTTCCATTTTTTTTCTACTCTATTTCTTTCTCTGTCATTAGAGTATTTTTTTTAAGTATTCTCATTCTCGTATGATGAAAATCCATATATTTATATTTAAAAGAAAATCTTATCTCAATGAGATGAAAAGTTTGTGTCTGAAATATTTTTTTATTATTTTCACTTATTCGTAAACGTATAAAAATACGTATATTAAGTTTAGGCAAAAAAAAAAGAAAGAAAGTGTCGAAAGTAATTCATTTCACGAAATTTAGGAAAAAAAAGAAAATTGTAGTGTTTACAAAAGGCGAAAAAAAATTGTTCTTCATTTCGCGAGAATTGCACTGACTGTTACTTAAACAAAGGGACTTGACATTTTTTTTTTTTTTTTTTTTTTTTTTATTAGAATTTTTATTAAGAATTCTTATTTTAGTATTTAGTAGAAAATTTATATTTTAAAATAAATGTCATCAGTATTTGTACATTAGAAAAATGTTCTTAATTGATTAAGTAAAATGTATTATAGAAAAAAAAAGATAATCAAGCGAAAAAAATGTTTATATGTAATATATTCTCTGTATTGATAAATTCTCTTTTTTAAAAAAAAATACCATGCATTTAATCGTAATTTTTATTTATTTTTTAAGTAAAATTAAAAGAAATAGAATTTAAACAATATAATGAATATATAATTTACTAGTGAAAAAAAAAATGATAAAATAAAATATTATAATTAAATGAACCAAATGTTTTTCTAACTTTTCTTTTATTTATAAGTACCTGTAAAATTTTCTTCATTTTCATTGCCACATGTTCTGGAAAATTAAAAAAAAAAAAAAAATTCAATTGGTAATTAAAATAAAAATTGATTTTTAACTCTTAATATTTTATTTATTATGATTTATTTCTCAATTTACATCTTTTTGGATTTATACATAATTATTTTTAACTCTTAATATATTTCTGATAATTAATTAAAAAGAAAACTATTATTTAATTTCGAAAATATAATATTTAATTCTTTATTTTCAAATTTAAAAAAAAAAAAATTGTTTTCATTGTTCCTTTTAGAAAAAAAATAAAAGTAAATAGAATAGTTTTTCATATTTTCAAACTGATGAAATTTTTAAAGAAATCATTGTAGAATAATTTTCAAAAATGTTTTTTAAACACTATTAAATTTTGTTTTACGATGATTTTTAATGAATTTGTACTTTTTATTTAGAAAAGAAATCTTTTTAAAATTAATGGAAAAAAATATTTTTTTGCGAGAATAAATGCTGTTTATTATTTTACAAAAATAGGCAAGAAATTTTTTTTTATTAAATATTTATTAGAAACATTTTTTTTAAGTTAAAAAAAGAAATTGTAATCGCTAAGTTTTTTACATGTAACAATGAAACTGAGAACATTTCTTTTTTTTCAAACTTTTTTCATCAGTAATTTACTGTCCTTAATTTTTAATAATGTAAAACAATTTTCGAAAAAGCGTTTCAAATATAATAATATTTACAGGTTTCAAAGATTTCGAAAAATGTATTGAAAGTTCATTAAAAAACAAAATAACTTAAAAAACTGAAATTTTTTTTTTAAATTATTTTTATAAATATGTACTTAAGTAAGTAAAAAATAAGTTTTGACTTTGTTGTTTTTTGAAAAAAAAATTTTAAACACAAAAATGATTATTTATAGTTAGAGATTCAGATTAATTAATTTTCAAATTCGTACAAATAAAATTTCTGCTAAATAAAAAATTTGGTCAAATAAAAATTATGTTTATTAAAAATAAGTAGTGTTCAATCAATCCAAGCCGCGTTAATTAAAAAATATTTATATCTATTTTGATTAATTAATTTTTACGAGGATTTTCTGCGAATAATTATTGACATGATTTTTTTTTTTAAATTTTTGTTATTGATTAATTTAATTCAGTATGAAAAATTATGTCTTTTGAAAATTTGCAAATAGGAATTTAATTAAATAAAAAAATTGAAAATTCAATCAAATAAAAATTCATTTTAATAAAAGTCTAGATTAATATAAATTCACTTAAATAAAAATTCTGCTAAAATGAATATTCAATCAAATAAATTTTTTTTTTAAATTAGTTTAATATGAATTTTTAAAAATATAAATTCTATTTATAAAAAATTCTAATAAACGAAGGTTCGTTAAAATAAAAAATAATTATATTTATCGAAGAATTCAACTAAATTAAAATTCTATTAATTTAGATAAAAAATTCAACTTCTTGAAAACATGGACGAGAAATTTAATTAAAAATAAAAATCTTATTTCATAAAAATGAACAAAAAATGAATTCTGTTAATTAAGAATAAATAAAAATTCTACAATACAAAAATTCGGTTCAATAAAGTAAATAAATTGTACTTATAATATAATAAATTTTTCCAGATGTGTATCACATTACATTTTTTCTAATCTTGGCTCTTGAAGTATAAAAAAAAAAGACATTGTTCCTTTTGATGCGAGTAACCAATATTATTCGGTTAATTTTTCTTTCCACATTGAAAGGAAAATTATTCGTGGCCTACATTGAAAGAATACAAAGGGCCGATGGCTTCCGGGCAATATTTAAAAATGGTCTATATATATTATTTGCCCGCACATAAATATTGGCTATATACACGTCGAATATCTATATATACATTATAATATATGAAAAGGATGGAACTTGAAGTAGAGATAATCCTTCAAGGATTACCGGTGGGAATTTTTGTTTTTACCTGGAAAGAAAGTAAAAATTCCCACACTGTATTTGTACAACCATATCTCTTATAATACCACTCTTCATAGAGAAGGATAATCCATTGTTATGTCGCATGCGGGGTATTACCGGTATTAAATAGGTCCTATAACTATTTTGTCTGGAAATTTTATAAGAACCAGCAAAATATTTCTTGCCCCTTATTGTATCTATATATATATATATATATATATATATATATATATATATGCGGCAAATTGAATGAGGGACTTATTGGTAAAGTCCCACATTTATGGAGCCTGCTTTTTCGATTTACAGGTATATCTCTCTATCCATAAATGATCCCAAAGTAAGGGGCGTAAATGTGAATTTCCCCAAAAACATATTATGCACAATGTTAACGTAATTGCAGAGGATTCTATTCTTAATGTTGGGGAATAACCCATAATTTTCAACAATCATATAGTTTAGGAAAAATTTTTAATTTTATGTAAAAACCCTCTCTCTAGGTGTTAATTACAAAAATAGTTTATTTGTCTTTTAAAAATAAATGGCAAATATTTCCATCTATTACATATATATATAATATAACCACTCTTGGATTGTTTCCAAAAATGTAAAACCAAAAGTGCTCAAGGTTTAATAATAAACTACCACGCCTCTAAATACATATATATATATATATGAAAAAAAAATCGGAAAATCCTCTTTCGATGAGTTGTAAATAATATTTCTATATAGATGATCTAATTCTATGAATATTTTTATCATAAACCTTTCAAAATATTTTTAAATCTTCATAGTTCTCATATATAATGAAAAATAAAGTTTGCATAATTAGGGTCAAACTATTATATTTCGAACATTATCGTTGAACCCTAAATTTAAAAAAAAATTGATACTGTAAATATTTGTAAATTATTATGTAAAAAATAAAATTGCACCATTCGAAAGAGCAGGAAAAAACCTTTCGAAAAAAAGAGATTAAAATTTTTTTTTTATCTTTTTCTAATGAGCCAAAAGTTTTGAACGTTCAAATGAACAAAATTTTTTTTTTGCAACTTCTTTAAATACGAATTTTATTACAAAATATTGTTTTAAGTATCTAAAAAGAAGTTATTAATTTAATATTTATTTAATTTACTGCTTTATTTTACATTGACATTATAATTTTTAATAATTTATAGATTGAAAAAATATTTTCTTCATTTGAACGTTCGCAGAAATTTTGGCTCATTTTTTATATACAATATAATTATGATTTTTCAAAAAATCCAATGTTCACGTTTTTGCTGTTGGATCACTTGAGAAATTTTCCCTCGCCTATAACAAAATAGAATAATTTTTAAAAGTGTAAGAAGAATTATTAATTCTTGTTTAGAATTACAGGGTGTCTATAAGGGTCATGGAAGTCAGGGAATTTAAATAGGGAAAAGTCAGGGAATTTCTTTAATTTTCTGGAATTTTTTTTATGAATAAATTAAAGTAACTATTAGTTTCAAAATTTTTTTTTATTTTTTTCCCAAAGCAAATGCAAATTAAAAAGGTTAGCCTTCACACTCAATTATTAATCATGTGATATATCTTATATTCATTAGATAAATAATTATTTACTACTATTTATTGAATCTAATAAATGATTTTTTATTGGATAACAATTAATTAATTTTTTTCAGTGAAATATTTGGTTTTTTAATATAAATAAAAATTATTTCATACAATTTTATTTCATCGGCTCAACTTCAAATAAAGTAAATTATTCATTAATACGAATAATTTATTACTCAATGCTGAATACCCACATTTAACTTATAAAAATTTTTACGGCGTCAAATATTAAATTATCGAATTTCTATTTAGCAAAATTGTATAAAGTGGATTTTATATTATGCAAAATTTTCAATTTACATTTAACTAAAATTCGATTTAAAAGAATTTCTATTTAGCAGAACTCTTATAAAGCATTTTTTCTAATACTTTTTTTAAAATTTTAAATTAATATAATTTCAATTTAACGAAATTTATGCCTAGAAAAAAATTGACAAAAAAAGAACTAAGTAGAATTTTTTTTAAACG